TTCATAGTGTTTCATTACAAGTAAGTGAGGATCCTGTAATACCAGGAAAGGTTAGGAGAGCAGGGGAGCGTGGTATATTATATTGACAGCTCTGTAGAAATCGAGTGGCTTTTGGATTGAATTTGGAACATGGGAAGGAGCTGGCTAGTAAATAAGGCATGAGCTTTTGCTCCCTGTGTCTGTGTATCAGTGGACTTGCCACCAGGCCAGGCAGGTCACTAAGACTGATTTTTGAAAAAAATACAGAGGCATATCCTCTCCACTGGTGCACTGGGGGTCCCTGGCCCCAGGCATACCCTGAACATCTCCCTCTTCTGTTGCTAGGAAACGGGAGTCCAGCTGTACATTTTCTGCCACTTGCCCTCTCCTCTGTTGTCAACTTGGACTTCTCTCTCTGTGAGCCTTTCCCGACCTCAGGCCCTTGTGCTGCCTATTGTCTCTGCCTGGAACACACCAGGCTTTTCCTTCTATTCTGACTCCATTCCACGCTTCAGGTTTGCGTCTTTTTCTCTCCGAAATCCCCTTCCTGAGCATCAAACCTTGGTTCAGCATTGCTCAGACACAGCCTCGAAGCAAACGATCTGATGCTGAGCAAATGATTGAGAAACATAAGAAACAGCAGTTTAAGGAAAAAGAAAAAGACACAGGATGAGAAACAGAAAGTAAGGTAGCCAGTGAATATGAATATATATTGTGTATTGTATCTAGTAAATAAATATTATATGTAGTAAATAAATTTTTTAAAATTAATGATTAGTCAATTTATAGTAAATCAACTTTTTATTTTACTATATTATTTTATTATTTTGTTTAATTTGTGTGTGTGTGTGTGTGTGTGTGTGTGTGTGTGTGTGTGCATTCAAGCACATGCTTGGATATGTGCCATGACAAGCACATGAAGGTCAGAAAACAATGTAAATAAGCTAAATCCCCAGGTTATCGAAGTACCTAGTGAATTAATGCAGTCACTTGGAGTACCCCAACCAGAAAAGCATGGAGAGATGGGGCCTACAGTGTTTGCCTCTGAGTTTGGGTTGGAAAGACAGTCCTATCAGAACACCATAAAGTTGCTAGCCTCCTGTGGATGGGGGTGTGTGTTTAGACTCTGCTTATAAAGTCCAAGTTGTCAGCACATGGTTCCTCTTGTAGCCTCACTCTGATCCTTGCCAAGTCAAGCCTCCCTCATTAAGCACATGCAGCATTGCTATGTCACTACTGCCTTACAAAAGAGAGGGAAATCACTCTGTCTCCAACATGTTTGCCACCTATGCCAGGGATAAGAAAATGTTCACTTTCTCCATAAAGAATCTGGGCCTCCCCTTTGGCCTGGTTTGGCTGTTCCAGAAGCATGGAATTTATTTATTTATTTATTTATTTATTTATTTATTTATTTATTTATTTAATCTAAATGAGGTGTGTGTGTGTGTGTGTGTGTGTGTGTGTGTGTGTGTACAGATGCCATGCTGCACATACAAAGCTCAGCAGACAACTGTTAAAGGGTTGGTTCTCTTTTCTGACCTAGCTGAAGAAGGGTCTCTTGTATCTGCTGCTGAACTGCACACTCCTAGCTAATTGGTGGGTGAGGCTCCTGTTTATGCTTCTGCGCTTACTGTGGGAACACTGGACTAAAGATGCACACTGCCACATACAATTTTAATGTGGCTTCTAGACATCAAACCCGGTTTGCATGGCTAGTAATTTTGCCTACTAAGCCATCTAGCTAGCCCTTAATAGTAATTTTTTTAATGTAACAAAGTAGATTTTTAAAAATTAAAAAACACTATGTATCAGCACCTGCAGTTGCCTTCTTGAGACTTGCACAAGATCAAGCCAATGAACCTTCTGATTAGGGTGTTAGGGATTATTGATGGCTTCTAGAGAGGGAAACCTAGTTTTCTTTAAAGATATGGCCTCTGAAAGGTCAGATGTACTTCAGTGGACTGCCCCATACCTATGAGTATATGGTCATCGAGAACTTGACTCAGTAGGCTTTTGGAAAGGAAAAAAAAGGTGGAGCTGGAGAGGTTGCTCAGTGGCTAAGAGTGCTTGCTGCTCTTATAGAGGACCTGGGTTCAATTCCTAGCACCCACACCAAGCAAATTACAGTCTTCTAGGGGATCTTCTAGGGGATCCAAAGGCCTATTCTAGACTCCGTGGGTACCAGTCATGCATATGGAACCCATGCATATAAAATAAAAATAAAGTAATAAATCTTTTTCACAAAGTTCGGAGGAGGTGAAGAGGTGAGGCAGGAGGCAGGAGGAGTTAGTGGGAAGAGCAGAGATCACATGTGATCATAATACTCTACATACAATTAATACAAATATTATGTTAAAAGAGTCCTGTGCAGGCTAATGTAAGAGCAATGCAATCCAGGCTCCTGACACTCACACTATCATCCACGGAAGAAAGCTTATAGTACAGTTACCATTAGTTACATTGACAGCAGGACAAATGCAGAAATTGAGGGAGGGGACCTCAAGACTTAAATACCCTGGCATTTCCATGACATCTATCTTGTGTCCAGCAGACACAGACGTTGCAGAATATAGAAGAATCAGATTGTTGTCGACTCATGTACTGAGTGTCTTGGAACATGGTCTTCACATTAACATCTGTCTGCAGTGGATTGGAAAACACAGCATTGAGACCCCATCACAGACAGTTCAGAAAGTACCGATTTAATGCAAGCTATTACCAGCTGAGCAGCTCATCAAAATAACTATCCTGATTCTTCCAACAAGATGTGACCAAATACTACTGATGTGTAGGATAGAATACATGGTCTACATTCTTTTGCACATCTGTAGTATACATGTATGCATACATGCATGTCATTCAGGGTATGTGGGTGTATGTGCATATGGAGATCTGAGGTTGGTCCTTTTTGATGATTCTCCCACCTTATTCATTAAGGTAGATTCTCTGCATCCAACCTAAAACTTGACATATAGTCAGTATCACTCCTAGAATTCAAGGGTACCACTATGCCTGTGTGGCATTTACATGGATTCTGGTGGACGGGAGTGGTCTGAACTCCAAACCTTTTGCTTTCCACCTGCCATTTACATGGATTCAACTGAACCCTAGCTGCTTTACTTGTGAGCATTCCCTAGCCTATGGTCTGCATTTCTAACACAGGAGCTACTGTACTTTGGAAAAGGCTAGTCCAATTGATTAATGTTCAATACCAGATATATACAAGATCTCTAAGATTTAAAATGAGTTATAGAATGTGAACTACCTCATTAATGTTTTGGTGTTGATAGAGACTAAAATGATAGTATGGTGGGATGTATACAGTACAATGGGATACAGTAATAAGATAAATTTGCTTTGTTGTTACTACAGTATATTTCTACTAAGTTTTCTTCTTTGACAATTTGATACATGCATATAGTATTTTCTGGGTAATCTCTCACTCTGTCATCTTCCTACATTCTTTCTAGCCCCTACTTCCCTACTGATCTCTTTCCAGATTTCATATCTTTTATTTTGTGTCCCTATGTTTAAGTTGAGCCATCTTAAGTGTGATCCTGGGTTTGGACCACTCATCTGAGCTTGGTAGCTTCTCCACTAGATACTATGCCTCCCCCTCATACAGGAATTCAGCAATGAGTGGCAAGGCCTTGTGAGCTCCTCCCTAGTCCGTAGCTGGCTGTTGGCTAGGGCATTCTTTTGTAGGTTCAGTGTAAGTAACAACAACAGATATGAATTCATGATTGCCATGACATTGTCATGCTTAAAAGGATATATTTCGCAGCCTTTCTGTCTATCTTTGGGCTTGTAAATTCTTTCCATGCCACCTTAGTAAGGATCTTTGTAATCACCTCCTTAGGACATGGTATGAATGTCTTGTTTGGAGCTAAGCCTATAACTATCGTTTATTCTCAGCATCCTGTCCAGCCACAAGTTCTAAATGAACTGCTCCTCACTGTAAAGATAGGCTTCTCTAATTAGGGCTAGGATTATCCTTTGTAGATATAAGCATAGATGTGTAGAAGGCAGCTTGATGTTATGTCAGTTTAACTAAGCAACAGTGTAGTTGTTTTTCCCATTGGGGCACTTCCTCAGTTACAAATGTTTGACTGGGCATATAATACCAGGGACGAGTTCTTTCTCATGGAATGAGCCTCAAGTCTAAGAGTAGTCAGTTGCTCATATTGTATGTATACCATTATTGTACCAGTGGGCACATCTTACCTGACAGGTTGGTAGTGTAATCCATAGAGATCACAGCCAGGTAAACCATTAATGTCTTTCCTTCCTGCAGCAGCCTGTATCACTGTTGGACATAACACTGAAAAGTCCCCATCAGGGAGGAAGCGTCTAGCTCAATTCCAGTTTGATTTCTTTATACTTCACATTTGTGGTGTCTTCAGAAACAGTCTCCCTAACCAAGAGCCACAGAGGTATCCCATGCCTGGCACTGGAAATTTTGTTTAGTGACCCACTGCTCCTAGGACTGACATTCTCTAGCTGTGAGAGGCATCTGCTATCAAATTCTTTTATGTTGTGTAAACTGGATCAGGAGATAACAAAGATAGCAAGTTTCTATTCTTAGGTGGCTTTTCATAGCCTCTTCTTTCTTGTTAACCCTTCCCTATTCTCCCATCTCCCCATCTTCCATCCCTCATCCTGATTAAAGCTTCCCACCACCAGCATCCTCCCAATCCACCCACATTTTACCTATGTGTTACTGTCTCCTCTCCCTTGAGGTAACTCCCCTACAACTGCCCTCTTTGTGAACTCTGGAGGTGGGTGGAGTACAGACAACTTAAGATATCATGCTCCGATTGTCTTTGACATGGTTGTTCATGGACTTGTTGGTAGAAAACTCAGGGCTGTGGTTGTGTGTAGTGTGGATGGTGCTAAGTAGCTCTGTCACATGCTGGCTTAGCTTGTCTTTCTTCTCCATCTGCCCCGCTGCCCCTCTCCAGTGAGTTCCCTTGGTTACTGAGTGGGGCACTTATGCGCTTCTATATCATTTTGTCACACAGATTAACTACAAGGCTGTTGGCTCCCTGGATCCAAGTGCTGACCTATCCAGCCAGAGGGGGAAAGTGTTCAAACTCCGGAATGAAACCCATCATCTCTTTGTGGGTCTGTACCCTGGGACTACCTACTCTTTCACCATCAAGGCCAGCACAGCCAAGGGCTTCGGACCTCCAGTCACCACTCGGATTGCCACCAAGATTTCAGGTATCTCTTTTAGAAAAGGAAAAGAGGGGTATGCTCTTTGCACTCCTTCTCTTGCAACCTTGGTAATTTCCAGGAATAAAAAGAAACAAACCCAACTGTCATTGATGGAAATAGAACAATTTAGACAATAAGGTCACTATTGGATTGTGGAAAGTCCAATTGATAAACTTCCTGAAGTTCATCAAATAACATGCCCTTGGCTGTTAGGAAGATGAGGGGGGGCAAGAATGAACAAATAAGAGAGAGAAAGAGAGGAGGATGGATGGAGGGATGGAAGGGGAGAAGGAGACAGAGACAAAGAGACAGAGACAGAGAGAGAGGCACACAGAGAGACACAGAGACAGACAGACAGACAGACAGACACAGACAGAGACAGAAGAGAGCTATAAAAGTTGGTTTGTAAATTTATTTTCCAAATAGATACTTTCTAGTATAAGATATCCACAATACTGGCTCTCATGAAATATCTAATGAAGGGTTGAAGGAACGAATGGCCAAGCTGCAGTAGCCTAAGATTGCAAACTGTTCTACCAGTAGGGTGCACCACTCTGCCTGACAGCAATAAGCAGAACCACTGCAGAATGCTTATTTACAGCTTCCCTATTTTGGAATATCTATGCAATCCAGTCTGCATGCATTTGTATTTTGCATGCGGTTTTGCAGAAGCCATGATTTTCCGTAGTTTAATGTTTCCACTTATCCTTCTCCCCTAAGTATTTCCCACACTGCTGCATTGCTTTCATTATAACGTTCTGTCAACTGGATGGACGTAATTTAATTAAACAGTCCCTTGTGGTTGAATATATTTGGTATTTCTACATTTTTATAAAATAGCACTCCAATAAACATGTTACAAAATAAACTTTAAATCGTTGATTGGGATTATAACTTTAGGATTAAATTCAGAAATTGAAAAAAGAATTAAAAAAGATGTGGGTTTTAATAGCTCATAATACAAATGGCTAAATTACCCTTTCAAAGGATTAGATTTAGTCACACTCCTGTGGGGGGGGGGAAGGGTCTTGAGGAAAAATAAATGGAGCTAATTCATCTTTCCTTTAATTTGCATCTAAATGTGTATAACAGGGCTGACTCTTTTCATGTCTTTATAAAGTACTTACATGTTCCACATACTCCTTTTATTCTGGGTGGGAGGGGTACTTTCTGGGAATGGGCGTGCCTGATCCCTCTTCAGACTATTGACTAGGAGAGAAGTAGATGGGAAGCCAAGGCCACCCTTACGGAGGGGCTCAGATACCATGATGTTCTTACTACAACTCACTGCCTCTGTTCTGCTGGAATAGGATCAAAGGGATGGGATGAGATGGGACAGGAAGTGTCAAGGGGCATGTGGGATGTATGCCTCATCACCTCCAATTTCTGTCTTTCCCAGCTCCATCAATGCCTGAATATGATGCAGATACCCCACTCAACGAAACAGATACAACCATCACGGTGATGCTCAAACCTGCCCAGTCCCGGGGAGCCCCTGTCAGGTGAGGAACCATGATCTGTGGTTTTCCCCTCTGTACCTTAATATATCTCCAGGTGAATCACATGCCTGGCAACATGCCTGGCTTCAATAAGCCAGAAGCCAGATCTACTACAAGGAAGATGGTCAGCAACTCCAAGCCCAATTTGAAGGGAGGTGCTGAGCCAGGATCTTCCTTACAGTGAACATCAATTCAAAGTGAACATCCTGATAGGGACCTGAAGTGGCCAGGGTGAGAAATTTCTGGGACATAATTAAGGAAAATGTAGTTTGTGGGTGGAAAAAAAATCAAGACACAGTGCTTTTGTAAAATTACCTGACTCACTGCCCTAATAGATGGACAGACAGACAGGCAGGCATGCAGACAAGCAAATGACAGGCAGACAGGCAGACAGGCAGGCAGGCAGGCAGACAGGCAGACAGGCAGACAGGCAGACAGGCAGGCAGGCAGGCAGGCAGGGAGGCAGACAGGCAGACAGGCAGACAGGCAGACAGGCAGACAGGCAGACAGGCAGACAGGCAGACAGGCAGACAGGCAGACAGGCAGACAGGCAGACAGGCAGACAGACAGACTCTGTATTCTCCAAAGAATCTAATCACAAATTTCAAATAGGATGAGCCCTTGGGACTCTTTTCATTCAGAGCTATGAGGTGCTAGAGTCCCACAGGGGCCATGCCTACAGCATCCCACTGCTTCTTATAATGAAAGTTTGTTGGGGCTCAAATGGGCACCTAGGCACCCAAAACAGAATCTTATCAGCTAGGTTGATCAGGTCAAGTTCATAGCTGTTGGGATGGATTGACGTTCATTTTAAACAAGATTCTCTTTGTACAAGCAACAGTGTTGACTGCTGCATTTGCTCAAAACTCCAGGTCTCAGGCCCTCAGTCCATCCAAATAAGGCTGATTTGAGAGCCATGGGGTTGTACTAGGGATTGGATTTTTAGTGGCATCACCTTGTTTGCCCCGGGGGGTGGAGGGGCTGGGAGACAAGCCCAGAAGGAGGCTTTTGAGCTAAACAGTCCTGATCTTCATTTTCATCCCTCATTCAACTCTACCCAGCAAGTATGTGATGTGGCCAACAGAATGAAGCAACAGAAATGCAGAAGTTTTTGCCTAGTCTGAAGACTGGGGGATGACCCAGGGAATATGGCCCACCATGTGTTGGGATGATGCTTATGGGTCTTTCACTACAGCTTGTCAAAACTGTCTTTCCTCTAATAATTGAAAGCAGACGCTGACATTTCAGACCGAGGTACCCACTCCCTGCTTTCCCTCTAGCTTCTCAGACACAGCATACTCGTTTGGTTTTTCATATAAATCATGAGACAGAATCTTCATTTTCAGACCAGGAATCTCAGGCATAGAAACGAGGGTATTGCAGGAGCCACACCATACTGCTGCATGTCCATCATCTATACAGCACTCTCTTTGTTCATCAAAGCTCCTCCCAGTCTTAAGATTTAGAAACTGAGACAAACAGAAGCTGATGAGTTGATGTATACTATCTAACAAATAGGCCAGGCAAGACCGAAGCCTAGTTCCGACCCTTATCCCTACGTTTATTTTACTGAACCAAGCCACCTTACTAGGAGGATGGTATGCATGGCATAGTTTGCTGACATTTCCATCTTGAGAAATGGAAGGAAATGTCACCGCTCAAAGGGGAAATGGTTGGTGTCTAGACATCTCTGGCTGCTTTCCTCCTCGAGGCTCTGGTTCACTGAGAGTGGGAGGATGCCCTGTCTCTGGGATTATTTTCAGACCAGTGCCTGGGCATTTGCCAAGAAGGGGAGGAGACTAAGAAACGACATAAGGGAGGCCTTTCAGGACAACTGTACTGAGAGCAGAAACACTACTGTACACTTCAGTTACCCTTTTCTACCTGGGGACGAGTCCTGGGCATAGGATATGCATCTTAGAGGCAGCTGGCCACAACAGGTATTTATTGAGCACTTGCTATGTAGCGAGTGAACTAACCGATTCAAGTATAGCAAGAAGCAAGAACAGCTCACTCTGTCTTCTTGAGGCTTGTCCTTGTGCAAGTCTGCCATAGAACAGGTCAGAGACATGAGACGATAAGCACCTAAGTAAACAAACAAAGCCATGAGCAAATCAATGAATGTAGTGAGCCGAGTGTAGTGAGAGGAACCGTGGGCATGATGGAGGAATGCGCTACATGAGGGAAAACAGGAAGTGAGCTACTCACTTGAGGGAAAACAGGAAGTGAGCTACTCCGTAAGCTGGAAACTGGGAGCTGGTAAGAAAAGCAACTGGATGCTCTACAAGCTGGGACCATCCCCATCCCTCCAGCTTGCTTCAGGCATTTGGCCAAAGATCCCTTGAATCATACTTTAAAGCTGTTGAGAGAAGCATCCAAATATCTGCTAACATAGTACAGTAGATGTGGCAGACAATAATTTAAAACACGTTTCACATAACTAGAAAAATGTCAAAGTTCCCAACATGCGGAAATGACAGGTTTCAGAAGCCCAATTACCCTAACTCAATCATGATATACAGTGTGTTCAGGTATTTAATTATCATTTGTACCCTATGAATAAGTACAATATTATATGTCAGTTGGAAAATAGCCATGGGTAAGAGAAAAATTTTGCCTGGCAAGATGGTTCAGCAGGTAAAGGTGCTTGCCACCAAACCCAACAATATGAATTCAGTTTCTGGGAATCCACATGGTAGATGAAAAGACCTGGTGCCTAGCAATTTATGTGTCCCTATCTCCCCCAACAATCAAAAATATAAATGCGGTACAAATATATAAAAAGACTTCACAATTGATAATATTTTTCATTTCTGTTACATGGCCTGACTCTTAGGTTTTCTGGTGAGTAAATTAGTTAAGAAATACCATCTCTATTTCAGAGAGGGGGTGGGGTGGAGAAAATAAAGTCTGAGATGTTAAATTTTGGGTCCAAGGTCCTGGTACACAAAGCCAGTATTTTATTCATTTCTCCCAGTGGTAACAAAACTCCTGACAAAAACGATTTATGGAAGGAAGAATTGGTTTTGGCTCACAGTTTAAAGGTAGGACAGTCATGACGACCTGAGACCCTGGCAGCTGGCCACATTGTATCCACAGTCAGGCTGGCCACATTGTATCCACAGTCAGGCTGGCCACATTGTATCCACAGTCAGGCTGGCCACATTGTATCCACAGTCAGGAAGCGGAGAGTGATGAGAGCTCTGGTGCCCATTTTACTTTCTCCTATTAGTTCAGCCCTGTGGAATGGTGCTGCCCACATTTAGGATAGGGCTTTACATGTCAATTAACACAGTCTAAAACTTCCTTACAGAGATATGCCATTCAGTCATTCTAGATCCTGATCCATTGATAACTCGTGTCCTTATCAGCTAGGTAGTTGAACATAGATCTGAGTCTAGGCTCATTGCTGCCCCAATAATTCTGGCTTGCAGTACCACTCTGTCAGGGGAAACTAGAAAGAATTTTAGGGGGTGCTGTAGAGTGAGGCTTTTTGCCAGCTGGGGCTGATATTGGGGGTAAAGGCTGTGTCCTATAAGTCTGGACAGTGTAGCCCCAGACCATAACCTGTCCCTCTATGTGTTTACCTATTAAATTCTTACAGATTCATCCATAAGTCTTGGCCTCCAGGCCCCTAGGCAGTCTTTTCTTCCTCCAACCCACACTGCTTAACTGCTGATGGGGCCAAATTCCAGCCTCCCACTCCTTGGAAGCCTCCCAGGTTTGACTCCTTTGAGTAGGGCTGAGAATTCAGAGAGAGAAGGGGGAGGTTACTGAGGAGCTGACTGCATGAGGTTCCTGCACCCTCCAGCCAAACCAACTCGGCAGCTTGGCCTATTTTTCTAATACTCCACAATGGAGATTTATTGCTTTTGTATTGCTCTCCTCGGGCCTTCAAAGATTTATTGGTTTTTAAGTGACAGAATCCCAGAATTGCTTAAAAGATCAATCAAATGGTGACTGGAATCTAATATTCAGCTCTGACTCGAACACACTGAACTTTCTTCCCCCACGCCCCACCTGTCACGCTGATGTATCTGTGGTAACCTTCATAAGAAAGTAACTTGGCCATGAATTAATCACCCATAATGCAGTCCCTGCAGTAAGACGGGGGGCTCTGCGAAAAAAATCTGTGGGAGACACTCCTCTAGCTACAGCAGACCTTCTTTCAAGAATCCTTTCTTGTTCTCTTCTCTCTCATCCAGTTAGTCTCCTGCATTGTCCCTTGATTTTCAGCTCAGCCCTGGTTGGCAATATTGCTTTGCCAGCCCCATTCTCCTGGCCAGCTAGGGTCCTTGCTTATATGTCTGTCATGAACATCTCTGTCTCAGGTCTGTCCCTACCACCAAACTGCTGGAGTGGTCCTTGGGAAGTGCAAATTGGATCAAGTTAGCTTCCCTGCTTAAAATTCTTAAATGGGTCACTGGTTTTCTATTGCATTAAGTTCAAGCTTCTTAGCATGAAATTCGAGGCCTGTCAGCATCTGCCCTTAACCTTATTTCTCATTTCATTTAAATTCACTCTGCCCCTTTACCAGATTTTACTCAACAGTGACCTACGTGATTCCTTCCTGGTTCATCCCTGAGTTTTTAACTGTGTTATGAATGCATTATGCATTTGTAAGCGTTCTTTGTTTTGAGAGTTTTTTTGTTTGTCATTTTATTGTTTTAGATTCCCTTGTCTTGGCCCTAAGACACTTGCAGTCTTCGTGCCACTGGGCCTCCTTAACTTGGAATAATGTCTAGCCAATAGTAGATGCCAACAAACAAGTAAAAACACAAAAGGGAAGCAAACAAACAAACAGAAATCCCAACATGTAGTTAATAAATCGTGTGATTATTTAATTCAGCATATCAGTCATGCCAACCTTGTCAATTCCAGATGCTAAGGCCATGCATTTTGTTAGCGTCCTTCTATTTCAAAACACAATAGTTATCAGATGGATCTTTCTCTGACAATAAAGATGCCCTTCTTTGTGAGCTATCTGGTCAGATAGCCGCCTA